AAGGATTATACTTATGAATATGACCCTGAAAAAATAACTATATATTTGAATATTAATACTTGGAAACTTAGATACAAAATTGGTTGAAGTTTTCCACTTTTGTTAACGGCAAAACATTTTGTACTATTATACTTTTCGAATGTGACTTGTCTTTAAATATTTTAAAATTTCGTTTTTCCAGTTAAGATTTAATAATAGGTAAACATAATTTACAGTTAACTTTAAACATAAATAATAACCGTGTTTTTATATTTATTTTTTGTAGTTCAGGTTTTTGTTGTTTGTTTTTTTTGCTTCAGAAGTTTCATGCAAACTACACTAAGAGCTATCTGCACGTGGCCGTTCATAATTTTCAACTGCTAGACTAGAAAGAAGGTAACTAGTCAACAACACGCACCGCCAACTCTTGAACTACTTTATTATGGTGCACACACACGGCCTCAAAATTCCTAGCGCTTTTTTTCGGCAACGGGACACAAACCAGTAATCTTCAGATTAATAGTCTGAACAACTAACCACGTCTTGCCAACTGCTTAGATAAACTTTTCCCGATACAAATCTATACTATTTTAGCAGACTTACATGTTTAAATTGCGAAGTAGTTACAAATGGTAATTTGGAATATGGATTTGTTTGTTTGTAGTTAAGCACAAAGCTACACAATGGGCTATCTGTTCTTTGCCTACCACGGGTATCGAAGCCCGGTTTCTAGCGCTGTAAGAGATATTTTTGAGATTCATTGTACTGTTATCGAACCTATGATGTACACTTAAAAAATAATGGAAAATTTTAATAAGTACCATAGATTACTGTCAGATTAAATAAATTTGGTATTTATAGTAATCATAGTACGAAAAATGAGATTTAAGTTGCAATAGTTTTACGTTTTATAATAAATCACAAAGATTAGGAACTCCAAAATTGTCTTCAAATATAACAATAAGTTTGCAATATAAAATCTTGTATCTCCCCTGGTGAAAAACATATAAATTAAGTGTTACTTTTCTATCTTGTTTTCTTGTTATTCTCGGACCTACAGTGAGTTATACAGATACTTCTTTAAATACAGGATTTCTAGAATAATACAAAATAATTCTAATCGCAGACACCGAATTCTATAAGCCCACTTGCCTTTGGCCTAAAATTAGCTAAGCCCATATTAAGTACGGTCTATATTTGATAAAGAGATAAATTAACTCTGTAACTTGTGTACGTTTTCTGCTATAGTTGTTAGGGCTAAACTTTGCCGTACTTAATACTATCGATAAATAAACTTATGATGTTATTCTATGATCTAATGTTAGCCCTTTTTGAAAAACTTTGATAAGCTTTTAATATATTGTACGAAATGTCTACAATGTATATTTACATCCGTTGCAAAGAAGTCCGTGCGCATTATCAGGACAGACAGAAAAAACAAGCTGTAATGAAATACGTCTTTAGTCGGTTGTGGAGACAGAATTGTCGTAACTGTTTATTATTAAGCACAAAAATAATTAATAATAATAATAATATGTACGCACAGAATATACAAAACCCATTTCTTAGACATTATGATGTTACCGTATATTTTATTGATTTTTTTCTTTTTATTGGAGGTGGAAGTGGCGTCGGAAACATTATTATTCTGAAAATTCACAATATATTGTTGCGACATCGAGGTCAAGTGACTAGTACCACGCCACGTCATTCTCGAACTTTCACGTCTTTTCCTTAAATCTCGTGATCTTTCTAGATATAGTGTAGTCTTGTATATATATAAGACCGGCCACGAAGCGACGGGGAGGGAATGAGTAATTGAACTGAGTATTGTCGAGCACGAGCACGTGAGACGTCCTAGCGTTTGTTATAGAGCGACTGTTGAAATTAAGTGTATCGGTAAAGTTGTATTCGGAAAGAATAAACCAGTTTTATTTAAGAAAGGACTTTTATTGCTAAAGTTTCGTTGGAACGAATTTACGGAAAATTAATTAACGAACGAACGGGGACGTAACAATATTTAACTTGTACGTATCACCTAGTGTTAAGGGCACCCTAAGTTCTACGTTGTTATTGTTTGTTTGCTTTTAAGGTCAAAGCTACACAATTAACTATCTGTGCTCTGCCCCACCAGGGGTATTGAAACCCGATTTTTAGCGTTTTAAACTAATGCTGTAACTGAGAACAATTACAAAAGTAATTTCATCAAAAGGTAACCGTTTTTTTCTTCTTCTTCTATTCGATCGTTCAGCGTATTTTTGTATTTTCTTATAACACACCGATATTTATTGGATGACGAGAATGTATACCTCATTTTGATTTTTATATGTAAAAAAAAAAACACAACAACACTTTATTACTTTCAAATACCCTCTAATATAAATATATTACACGACTAGTTTCGGCATTACTCACATCAATTGAAGACTACTTGAATTTTACCTAATGTACGTAGATCCAAGTCCGAAACTAGTCGTGTAATACTTATACTTATGTGTGAACTTTTCTACCTTAATAAAACATTTTCCTCATACAATTTGTCTGAAATGTTTGTCAGTGCCGCTAGGGGAGCACTATGTTGTTTAGATAATAAAGTCACAAACTGACGAAAACGTCTGCAAAGATTAATTAATACTTATACAGTATCTGACATGTTGCCCAGTAATTCTATTACTAAAAGCTTGCAACTCTATAGACATGTTTTATGGTTTCATATTCGATATGATTACAAAAAAAACACAATTTTTACTCCTATACAATTAAATTTTTTTACCACTTTTGTTCGGAGAGCAGGGGCGGAGAGGGAAAAAAAGGAGCTATCTCAGCAAGAACAACTTAAGTGTGTTCGTGACAGTTTCTATCAGTTTTTTGGAGGGTGGGGGGGGGCAAAAAGGGGGATCTCATACAGTAAAACACAAGTGTGTTCATGACAGCAATTTCTATTGAGAAATCGAAGCCATTTTCTTACTATCAAAAGTGTGAAGTTTGAATTAATTCTTATTTTTAGATATAGATTAACAGCAAGAGAACTCATAAATACGAAACCTAAGTTACTGCAATTCAATCTCTACGTAATGAATGAATATTTATTTATTTAATACATATAATAGAAGGAATTCTCAGAATATGTGGTATTTTCCTATAATTACAGGGAGATTTGACTTACTAAGATTCAGGGAGACGGACAGCAACATACAAAGAATTCAAAGTGATAAACTAGTAATGGTATTGTTTTTCCTTATCAAAAAGCGAAACTTCAGATGGTGTGTGTGTGTATATATATATATATATATATATGTGTATTTATATCTGATCCTAAATACTGCGTGATATTTTATATTCTATATCACCAATTGTTTACTTTGAAGTTAACAGTTTATGTGAACAGAAATTTGATCTTAAGATTATGTATATATTTACCGTAACTGTGATATCTGTTTGTCTTTA